TTTTTTTTTAAACCCTCGTTTCTTCCTCTTCTTGACGTGTCTCTCTCTACATATGTGTCTGTTGTTGGATGGGAAAAGAAGGTGGGCGCGAAGGAGGGAAAACCGCAGCAAAAGGGGAGTTTTTTTTTTCGGCGTTTGGCACCCTTTTGCCCGTCATGTTTGTGCTCCCCGAGATGAAAGCGCCGCCAGAGGGACTGCAGGTGACGCGTCGCGGCCTGCCGGCGAGAGTGCCCCCCGAGTTTTCGTTGTCCCCGCCGCTGCTTGCGTACTGGGGCCTTCCATTCTACAGCGAGCTGCCAGAGGAGGGCCAGGCACGCACGGAAATAATGGAGTCGTATTTGCTTGGTCTGTCGCGCTTGTTGCGGCTGCGCAATACCACGTTGCAGGAAGCTTTTGATGACGCTCTCGTGAGAGTGATAGAGGATGAGGGTGTAGAGCGAGGATTCATTGCGGAGGACGGTAACCTTCTTGCCTGGAGGAGTTTCATCGACCACACGCGCCTGGAGGCGCTGGCGTTTTTGAGGAAACGAGAAGAGATGGCACGGCAGCGCGTCATCGAGACGTATTTTACATTCGCCCTGAGAGCTTTAGGTCATTTTGAGGTGCTACATCGCCAGCACATCGCCACACAGTTTTTGGACAGCTTTTTTTTGAAGCGGTGCCAGCTGCCTCCTGAGCGGCCGCTGCAGCATTCTCCGCCTGTGCTAGAGAAGAGTTGTACCGCGGCTTCTGGAGCGGCGGAAGCCTCGTGGTGTACTGCCCTTATTGCAGAAGAGAACTCTTCCCGAAACCGTCTTGTGGAAGAATTCTTTGCGAACATTTGTCTTGCGGCCGAAGTCTTTGCGGCTTCGGTAAAACGAAATATGTACGAGGAGCAGAAACCCCAGCTAGAGTTGAAATTATTCTCCACACTGAATCAGCAGGCCACCGTCATTCAAAGTGTCTTTCGGGGGCACTATGAGCGGCGGCGGCGTTCTTCTGCGGCGGCAGCCGCCTTTGCGTGAGGAACATGTATTTTTTTTTTAGTTGTGTGGATGTGTCTGCGCAGAAGTTTTGCTTTCTTAGAGGGAATCCCCACCTAGAAGGCCTTTTACTTTTCGCATGTGAATTGTTCTTCAATTTTTTGTTTTCCGCGATGTGTAACAGTGACGAATCCAGGGAAGCGGAAGCAAAAAAAAAGAGTGGGGCGGGCGTGTGGGTGGGAAGAATCTGGTATTTATACTAAAGCGGATCTGCTCGTTTAGTGCTAACTTGACTATTAGCATTTATATGTATATGTGTGTTTTGTTTTTCCCGTTCCCATCTCTTTCTCAGGGGGAACGTAAGCCGTAGACTGTTCATATGGCCGCTCTGTCAAACGGGGGGTTTATCTTTATTGGCGCGAAGAGGCAGTTGCTCCTGCTAGAGAAGGGTACACACCAGGAGGCGCAAATCGTATACGGAGGCGAGGTTGCCGCCTTTGCCTGTCGGGAGGATGAGAGCATAGTAGCGTTGGCGTTCCCACCCTCACCCGGCCAGGATCGATGTGTCGTTCGCTTGTACACCTTTGCGGAGAATGAGCTTGGTGAGGCCTTGGGTGAGGTGATGAACGCGCAGGTGACACAGTTGCTTTGGGTGGGGTTGAAGCACCTTGTGCTCTGCGGCCCTGCCGGGTGCACAATATACGTCTGGAACGGTGAAAAGCTCAGTTTTTTTGTCTCTGATCCCGCCACCCACTCCTTCCTGCAGGGGACGCGTCTGGGGCTTTTCTACGGGGCGACACAAAGCGTGCAGTACTGGAACCTGGATACGAACCGAATGGTAGACTCTGTCAAGCTATCTTTGCAGGGCCGTCGTTTGCTCGCCGCCGTCGGTGTAGGCTACTTTGGGTTTGCGCTCCACGACGATGGGTCTGTGCAGGTGTTTTACGTGACCAAGAGCAACATCAAGAAGATTGGCCTCCTTAGCCGTCTTCTCACCGTTTCCCAGGAGGAGGACCGCGAGAAGAGTGGCGCAGCATCGCCTCTGCTGGCGTGCGCACTTTCGTCCCGCAAGGTGCTCGTGGGACTGCGCGGCGCTGACACTGTCCACAAGCTGGAGTACCGGAACGAAAAGGTGGTGGTGGACAGCATGCAGGAGAAGCTTCCGTCCCCCCACGTGCTTGTGGCAATCTCACGTGACGGCCGCCGTTGCCTGGCACTCAACACGGAAACCAACAGGTGCCACGCCTTAGTACTGAGCTTTAGCGGTTCGCGGGAGGCGACTGCGGAAGCGCGGGATAAAAATAAATCCCGCGTGACGTCCGAGAAGAATGGAAGCAACGGCGCCGCAACGCTGGCGTCTGTGAAGGAAAAACGACATGTGGCCTCCTCCGCTGATGAGGGGCCCGCTGTGTCGCCTGTGAAGGCGAGGGAGGCAGCGGCGAGGAGGTCGAAGGTGGACCGCAGCACAGAGGGGACTGGGGCACCCAAGAAGGGCGTTGCCAGCGGGGTGACACTGACGGCTGTTGGGTGCGCTGCACTGGCGCTCTTCGTGCTGGCGCGGCGTGTCTTGTCTCGGCAGCGGTAGACACACACCTGCATGCCGCACGCACACCCCTGCCTAGCAGATGCCATTTGCGTTGTGCCAACTGCGGCTGGACGGCGATGTGAGTTGCTGACGCAACGGCGTCTTTCCTGCACCCCCCCCTCTGTACACGAATTGGGGAGTTGTGTCCGTCACGGAATAAACTTAACACGTGTGCGTGAAAAGAAAGGAGAAGCGGAAAAAAGAACAATAAGAAAAGAACAAAAAGAAGGGAGAGGAAGTGTCATGCAAAGAAACAAAAAGAAACATCGTCGCAGATAAAAACGGGAGAGAACCCCAAATCGCTTTTTCCAACCTGCATCGCACTGGTCTGTGGGAAATGTGGCAAGTGCATTGTTTGACCTTGCACGCGCTTTTGGATTTCAGCACTTGTGCCTCGCTGAGCCCCTTCACCGTCCCTTTTTAAATTGTTTTCTTTTCTATCTCTTTCACTCACACACACAGACACACACATCCTCTCTCTCTCTCTTTCTGTGTCTGAGGGGACGAGAGTGGGCGTCTTGCGTCCCTTAGGCTGCGCCTTTTTAGTTTTGCAAGGAAAAGGCCATATTGGCAGAGCCCGTGCTCCGGAGAGTATCGATTGAGTTTCGCATTCATGACGGACGAGCAAAAGAAAACATCAGTGAAGCTGGATGAAGAGACGACGCCGAAGCTTTGCAGCTTGCCAGGGAAGGGCGTTGAGTCTAGTAGACGCGCAGGCAAAAGCACCAGGCAGAAGGGCAAGGATATGGGAAAGGAACGCGTCGAGGGGGCCACGCATGCCGGCGAACGCATCCAAGTGGGCACGACGGTGTACACGCGGGTTGTGCGGCAGGATGAGTTGGGGGCCTTCGGCGGCGGTCAGGTTGCGGTGTGGGTGCAAGAAGGGAGAGCAGTGGAGCATGGATGGGGGGAGGTGCCGCTGGAGAGCGGCGAGGTGGTGTACGCCAAATGGGACAACCCAGCAGTTACAAGGTGGACGCTGCCAGACACCGCATCGTTGCAGGGCGACGCAGCAGCGGTGAGGAAGACGCTTACTCCCAAGAAGGAATGGCCAGAGGAAGAGCAGGCAGTTGTACGGGCGGCGGCAGCAAAGGCCTTGGATAAGTGCTTCACTTTCTCCGTGGACGTGGACGGCGTCACGGGGGCGGAGCGGTCAAATATGGCGCACAACATTGCCAATGCGTACATGGCAGCATGCGGTGCAAAAAGACATGATGAAAACTCACAACAGTGGCTACGCCATGCCGCTCTGGCGGAGTTCGAGTCCTTCTTGAGGAGAAGGCATGTGTCAGCGGCTGCGAGCCAAACTCTGAGTCAGCGGGCGGCAACACTACTGCTGCAAGCGAAGCTTGACCCTGTGGAGAGCGTGCTGGGAGACGTGGGCGAGGAAGCCGCCACTTTTGCCACTGCCGCTGAGTCGACGCAGAACGGAAGGAGCGATGAGGGAAAAACTGAGGCGTTGCTTCCGTCGCCGCCGTCACCTTTTCTCCCAAAGGCCAAATTTCTGCTCAACCCATACTATTTCAATCTCTTGCGTCGTCCATCTGCACGCCGTAGTTGCATCGAAGCTCAGCTTGAGGCGACAACTTTTGCAGCCCCTGGTTCAGGTGACGTCCGTGTCCTCTGCGCTGTTGCCGTTTACGAGGGGCGCGAGGGTCCCAAGAAGCGCATGTTTGCGGTTGCGCGTGACTGGACGGGGGCATTTGCCCTTTTCCTTTTGGAGCCTTTTAGTGGTGAAACAGAGGCCGTTGTTCTTGACGCCTACCCGCTCCTTGGCTCCGTAGACCTGAACCCAGACTCGCACCAGAGAGTTGCCTTCCACGTGGATCAGGTGGAATTTCTGGCCTCCTTCAAGGACAGGGAAGCAGCCAGGTGGCTCCACGACGCCTTAAAAGCGGCAATGGCGTCCATGTACGGTGAGGGAAGTGATTGTGAGCGTATTTTGAAGATGCGAGCCTACAGCGTGGAGTTCGCCTCCGAGTACACCACTTGCGAGGGGGATTCCACGACACTTGAGTTGGTGGCTGCCATCCTCGCTGCAGGTAATGATGGCGGTGAAGCTGTGATGGAGAATAACTTTGCGCAGCTGCGTCGCCACCTGCGCACACCGGAGGGAAGAGACACGGTGGCGCGGCAGTGGCTCACGTCCGTGAAAAACTTGTCCAGCAAAAATGATGTTTGCATTTCCACGGCGTCTACTGCAAGGCATTTGCGTGTAGTGGAGGAGCTCATTCAATCTCCCACCGCCCACACTGACGCGACGCTTCCCCGACGAATGTGTGAAGGTGTGGAGGAGATGGGGAGGCGCATTCCTGAGATAAGGGCAACGTGCTCACGTCTTGCTGTTCTTCTCGGCTACACGGATCGCGTCATGCGGACATGGATCTCACGACATGAGATCCCGGACGTTCCGTTTGAGCCGTGTTTTCAGCCCGAGAGCCACTCGCAGGCTGCCTTGTACGAGGCCGCAATGCTAGAGGAGAGGCGAACGCGGGGTGAAGCATACCGCCTTTCACCGGGCATATATTTGGTGGTGGTCTGCTGCTGTGGCGAGAAGGTTTTTACGGATGCGTCTGGGAACTGGGTTGCGGAGGCCATTCAACGTGAGCCCACGCGTGAGGAACTTCAGCAGGTTGCAGCCGATTCTGAGAACTATCGATGGGTTCTTCGCCTCGGCGGTATCGATGCGAATTGGGCCGAGAAGGCGAACCTGGAAGCATGGGAAACCCTATACAAGGAGCGCGGTGAGGATTCATTCAAGGCTCGCTTTCTACGCGCCGCTAGCCGCCTGCGCGAACGAGGCGTGTTTCCCAGACTGGGATGCCTCTTTGATACCCCAATTTTCCAGGAGGAGGTGGGGACCGTCCTGATTCTCACTCTCTGCGAGGTGGGTGCCGAGGCGGAGGTTCCACCCGCTGCGGGGGTGTGGCGCAGCCTCCCTGAGGTGGAGTCGCGCGCCTACACGCACGCCTTGATGTGCTCCGAAAACGCCCGTGTGCGATTCCTGCCTAGTGGCTATCGCCGTTGTGTGCGCTACGTGAATGCCGCGGCGGAGTATCTGGCGAGTCTTGCGCAGCGCTTGTCACCAGGGTTCTACGTGGGGTTTTTTCTTGCCACTGTGAGCGCGGAGGGGATGCTGATGCTTGTCCCTGAGTGCAATCGAAACCTGCCGCCGCTGGTGAAGGTGGGTGAGGATCCGCCGTCACTGCCGCAGTGGCGGTGGCTGCAGAGTTTAAACTACCGACGACAAACAACACACACCTTTGGGCTACCCACACTGACGGATTTTCCCGTCCCGTTGGATGGTGATGCACCGTTTGAAAGCAAAGTGGGGTACGCCATAGCGGCCTTGGAGGCGGCTGTGGGACTCAAGATAGAGCAGTTTTACGACTTGGAGCTCTTTGCGTTGGATGAAGAACAAACTGTTTACACCTTCTTCGCTGTGGCGTACTATCCACCACCACTGCACGCTGTCGAGGGGGTTCCTGCGGCACCTAAAGGTATTGTGCCCATGACGTTTAAACTTGTACGCTCGGTGGATGACCATCACCAACGGCGTTACTGGAGCGGAGTACACGGCACCCTTGCCGATGAAGCAGATTCTGTGTACAGGACCTTGTGCTCCACGACGCAGCCTTTTACCTCTGACGAGGCGATTCGCCTGAATACCGCAAATGAAGCAATGCTCTATGCAATGGATTTAGACAGATATGCGCTTTTGTTCAGCTGGGCAAGGACTCTTGTCATCTGGCTTGAGACAGACGGCCGGACGCTGGTGCAACGGCACGCAGGATGGCTCCTGAAGACCTCTGCAACAGCTACAGTGAATGAGGAAGAAGTGGGGGAGCCTGCATCTTCTGTTGCCGCACTCTCGGTGGAGGAGGTGGTGGATATCGCCGTATCCAAACAGACAGCTGCGACAGATGCGAAGTTGGCCGCGATGAAATCCTTGTTGCTGCAGCTCCGATCCATCGGTAAAAAGGGCTGGGGGACCGTCCTGCAGCGTCTTCGTGAGGTGGACGCCACCATGGCGGAAAGCTACGCGGGTGAGGAGGCCTTGCTAGCGGAGGCGAATACATTTTCTCTGACGTTACGCGGCTTTGATGACGTACCGCTGGATGATGGGTTCTCTGCCGCGCGCCCTGCCACTGTGTATGAGCTGCCCTGCACACTGATGGAGTTTGTTTCGGGCGAGGGCAACGCTGCCGAATCTTACCTTTTCGCCCGTGAGATTGTTGACGAAGTGATTGAGTTGGCAGCAGCAGGTGGGGCCGTTGCCGCACTCGGCCGCGTTGCAGAAACGATGGTGTCATGTGTTGAAGCCGCGGAGGACATGGTGGATGGGGCCGCCCTCGAGGCCTTACGGCTAGAGGCGGAGGAGAGGGCGTGGGCCGAGCGGCAGGCGTTTGTAAAGAAATGGAGTGGGATGTTTAATGCAAGACTTGTTCCATCCATGTTCGATGACGGATTGGAGGCGGCGGGAGCGAATCCAGTGCCAATCTTCCACGCAGGCCATTCACGGTACGTCCAAAGTGGCAACGACGGCCTTCGCGTGTGCCTCGCACGTGCTGCCGGTGACGCGAACCAGCTGCAGGAGCTTCTGCGTGTCGCGAATTCTGCTTTGCATGCCCTGGATTTGACTCAGTGCGTCCAAGCGTACAATAACGCTCTTCAAAAGAGTACACAGACTCTCTTCAATGAAAGGAGTGACAAGGAGGAGCAGAAAGTGCGAAAAGAGGAAGTTGCCCCTGCCCCTGCCCCTGCCGCCGCACCGCGACTCGTGACGCTTGTTTCCAGCGAACATCGTGAACTTTATTTATATTCACTTGACCGCTTGCGGTGTTTCCTGTTGCAGGGTGACCAGCCGCGCGTGTCATTTCCGGATATTGGCTATGCGGAGTTGCGGGTGCTTGGGGATCATATTAATGCTCCGCCGCTGGAGGTGGCCTCCCAGCTCCGTGACCTGAGTTCCACAGACGCGCAAGAGAGACAGAAGTTGTTGAGCATGTCACTTGAACTACAGGCACCACTTCTTGCCATTCGGCTTCTGCCGTTGGTGTACTGCGCCGAAACGGGCCAGTTTGGTGAAGTGGAGGCGAAGGCGGCGCGGAAAGCGTTAAGGGGGAGACGTTTCTTCTTTTTATACGGCGTACGAGATTGGCTTCGGATGGAGTTGCTTGGCGGAACTGCGATTCTTAGCGGCTTCGATCTTCTTTGGTGGTTGCGTTACCTGCAGGAGGCGGGGGAGGGGGAGGAGTCGTACAACAGCTACAGCGGCTCCTGGAAGCAGGTTTACGCCGAGGCGCGCGTCCGTGTGCTTCTTTCCCTCGGCGTGGACCGTGTCGCGGAGGAGGAGGTGCTGCTTTGGCTTGAGGAGCTTGGCCGCCTTGTGGCGTACATGAGCTTCAGGGGAAAGACAAATGTCACAGACGCGGAGGTGAAGGTTTTGGTAGAGACATGCCCGCTGCTGCAGTCGCTGGACCTCTCCGGAACTGCCGTGACCGATGAGTCGGTGCGCCTCCTGTGCACAGGATGCAGGCGGTTGGTGGAATGCAGCGTGACGGGGTGCCGGGTTTCACGCGAGGCGGCACTGTGGCTCACCGATGTTTGCATAAAAAATGCACAGAGTTTGTAGGAAAGTGGCATCGGCTTCCTTTTTTGTTTTTGTTTCTTGCACTCTTCATCACTCTTGCCACTATTATCGTAGTCTTCTCCTCCTCTCTCACCCTCTCTCTTTCTGTGTGCCTGTGAATGTGTGTGTGTGTGTGTGGAGGACGGGACGGGGGTTTGAACTGGCGCCTGCGTTCCTTCCCCCCGCCCCCGCTGCGGCATCCTTTTTTTTTTTTTTTTTCTCCTTCCCTTCTTCTTTTGTGGGGCCTCGTCTGCAGCCCGCCGTGGGCGAGGAGTGACAGGCGCCTACCCTTGAGGGGACGGCAGGTGCAACGAGAGAAGAAGGTCGGCGGCCGCCATGACGCAGCAGGAGTCCCTGAAGGAGGCGATGCGTGAGGTGCTGGAGGCGAAGGGCGTGATGGACCACGTCAAGGCGGAACTGCGCGCCGCCATTTTTCACGCGATGCAGGACTCCGCCATGCACGACGACGGCGCGCCCTCGGCCAGGCCGCCGGTTCCGCCGGAGAATTTGCTGCTTAACGAGTTGATCAAAGAGTACATGGCGTTCAACGGGATGGAGCACTCGCTATCGGTCTTCTGCGCGGAGTCCGGGGCCGCGAAAAACACATCGGCCCCTCTTCCGCGTGCCGTTCTTGCCGCGCAGTTGAACATGACGGGGGCGCCAGCGTCGGTGCCTCTCCTGTACTCCATGCTGCATGAAGCCCGCGCCGCGGCAGATGGATAGAAGGAAGAGGAGGAGGGAAGAGGAAGAGCGCGATTTTTT